GCATTTCATGATTAAAAGCGATAGTATAACCAAAACTAAAAAAATTCACAACCAAACTTACACGCTAATATGATGTTATTCTTACGTTTTTTCATTTTCTTGTTTCAGATTCAAGATTTTCCTAACTAGAAAAAAAAACTAAACAAGTCAGGATCCGAAAGAACCATAATAATTTAATATGAAAAAAAATAATTTTGTATAAATATAAATATGTATTTGGTCAACACTTTGTATAATTATAAATTTATAATTATAATGTTCTTAATATTGATACACGTACAGAAAAGTCACATTAAATTTTAAAAATTTTTTAAAAATGCCACTTTTCAAGTGCCATTTTACAAAAATACCACACTTTTGAAATTTTTAGAAAAATGTTACTTTTTCGAAAAAAAAATTATATTATTTATGTTTGTGTTAATTATGTTCTATTAGAATTTAGTTTTGAGTGTTTAGAGGGTTTTAGGTGTCAAAACATTTTTTAAGCTTTAGAATTTTAAGATATAGGCTTTATAAATCTATAATTAGTGGTATTTTGTAAATGGACATCCCTAAATAGCATTTTTATAAATGTACACATAAGTGGTATTTTGTAATTGCTCCTTAAATTTTTAGCTGGATTGATTTCCATTGACGGAGAAAAACATAAAATGTTTTGCATTGCCTCACAAATTGTACATTCAATAAATTTTGGAACGATGTTTCAAAAACAAAAATTTTGGAACATACACACAATTTTTTAAAAAAATAAATAAATTTTGTATCATGAGAAAATGTATATTCGAGTTAAAAAGGCATATTCCTGGAATTTCAGATGTGGCGGCGTTACCCACGAGTTAACTGCAACTTGCGAAAAAGTCATACATAGCCAAGTAAGCCTTCACTACACGTCTCCATTACGTGTCAATATGGATAAACTTCTTGTACGTAAAATTATGGGGTGTATCTATTTTGCATGCGAACTATTTTTGTAATTTTTTCGACCCTTTTTTTTGTTTATTAATGAGATTCTATTGAAAAGCAGGTAAATCGGCTATAAAATAAAGAAACTATAAAAGGCATATTCACCATATATTAATTAGTTGTATAATCCGTAGTAGATACATATTTGGTCTTTTTTTTTTTTTTTAAGTCTTCTATTGAAATACTTGTGCAAGGGGAATTGATACATCATCGAAACCCAAAAAACTTCAACAACCCAAAGAAAGAAGAATGTATAGACAAGACGATCGAGAACCGAACGAATGCGTATGAGCATTGTCCAACAAATTCTCTCAAATCAGTTCAGAGATCACAACCTGCGAGACCAACCTAAGTAAAAAGCCAATCCGAAAGACTCAAACAGATCTTCCGATCGATTTCGATATGCCGACAGTTCCAATAAAGAAGAGAATCCGCAACTGAGATAAAAGAGAAGCTGCACCTAGAAACAGAGCTGGCCAAATAAATTTTTCATCATTCTATCTATCAAATTGTGTTCAGATGCATTCTAAGAGATGAGATTTTTTTCGCTGTTAAGAGACTCATAATATTTCTCTTCAATCAAAAACTGAGATTCAGTTTCTTTCTTTTAGATAAGATATTATCAGTTTCTTTTGACATCCCGATTATGTCTTACAAAGTTGGTTTATCCATATCCACAATAAGAAATGGTCTAAGTTTCATGGTTACATATTATCCATTATATTCATATACTATTATTCACTCCACACCATCCATATAAAAGCATCCATCATACACAATCAAATCTCTTTAATTTAAGATTGACCTTCAACATCAACCTATTAACTAATTTACAAGACTTGAGCGTCATAAGCACCAACCCAGATTAGCTCAACTGGATTTTGGAAAATGCAAATGATTCATGACTAATGCCAAACTTTTATGATTTTCCAATATTGAACTGAATTTTTTTTCAATATTGAACTGAAAATAAAAATTCAGAAACAAATGATTGACCATGTACTTAACAACATTAACAAAGCCTAATTCATGAAACAAAACCCAACATCGAAAAAGCAGATGAAAAATATAAACTGAACGCGATAAAAAGACTCTAATCTCTCGAAGAGAGTAGTATTCCAGATTACCATTCAGAAATATGGGATTCTCCATAGATTTATTTGAAGGCGATTCTTCCAGAGTCTGGAATAAAGAGAAACTACTAGAAACGAAAGCATGAAGAAGATAGAAAATACTGGAAATGAGAGAATGCATATGGCTATTTGATTCCACTCCGGTCTGTTTAGCGACCACTTCAAAGTCAA